TATCAAAAAGAAATCTGAGATCCAAATCCAAGCCCAAAACCAACTTAACTTAACCATTTTAAATACCCACTCATCCATGCCCACGTGACAATTTGGCTCTTCTTCCCTTCATATTAAAAATTATTAAACCTATGGTGGGATATTTCATGATTAAAAATGGCCAAAATTGGAATTCATGGAATAATTTTTAAGGCTTGAAACTTCTCCCCCTCCTCTTTAATGCAAGCCATTAAGGCTATATAAGAACCATAGGCAAGCCATGTGGCTTTAGCCAAGCCAAATGGAAGCCATGGAGTCATGCACAAGCCTCATGTGAGCTATCACACTACTTATGGTTAAAGGAAGACCCTCTTTCAAAATCCCCTCAAAGCACCTAACTATACCCATGACTCACTCTAACCTATGATTATGCTATAATATTTAATTTCCATTTTTAAATTTTAATTGGTTTTCTTTTCATTTTATTTCAATTTTAAATGATAAATCCCCATCTTGGCCTAAAGTGGGCCTCATACCAAATGTTATCTTTTATGAACAAAAGAAAGTGTTATTCAAGGAGTTGGAAAGAGGAAATGCAAAGTGCCTAAGAGACCCAATTCTCTAAGTTCAAATGGGTTTTTAAGGCATTTCCAACCTTTTGGATGCCCAACTTATGTTTCAATGACCTGGCTTTAACCAGCTAAACTAAAGGTTAAGGAGTTGAAGTCAATCATATGAAGCCCTAAAGAGTGAAGAAATGTATGAAATTCTATTTGGCTTCGGTTTCTTTACTAGTCTTCTAGGAGAGCCTCTAAGTAAACCTTAAGGTTATAACCCAAGCTCTAGAGTAAGGAAGAGTGGGAAGGACCTCATACAAAAATTAGGTCAACATTTGCTAGAGGAAAGAAGAATGAACGAGTCAACTGATTAGGTTCTCAGGCATAGGCCTTTGACACTCATCCTCCTTTTGGTGCATTCAAAACATCTACTTCTATTGCCCAAAAAGATGATGTTCATAGATAAGTTGTATTTTTTACTGTAGATATTGAAACCAAATTTGTTGTCGAGCTCACTTAAATGAAGTTTTAAAAAGTGCCTAAAATGTATATAAAATTTGATGCTTTGTGGAATTGGGTAGGCTTGTGATGAAAATATCCTACAGAGGAGGATATTGAGGAGCATGATGAGGGTACAAAAGAAGATTAGGACTTTATTTTATTTATTTTATGAGAAATTTTAAACTTGTCGTTGTTTTGTACAAATGGTGTAATTGTTTGATTCAATGCATTGCATTTGTTTCTATGTTTGATTTATATGTTCATTCATGTGATTTTAGTTTAATAATTATTTTGATGGTTAATTACAATGTTTGATATTTAATTGAATTTATATTCGCGTTAAGATTGAACGTGTAAAAATTGTAATGAAATGAATACTATTTTTTTAGTTTTTTTCAAGATGAAATTTTTATATTGTTTTTTGATGGTTACTCAATAGTTTTCCGCTCATTTCTCATATGATCTAACCGTTATAGACCACCAGTTACTAAATTGATGGATGACCAACGGTCTTGCTATGATATATTGATAAAGCAATAGTCTCTTCCATCGGTCACCCAACTTACAAACTAACCCAAGAGCAAAAGGTTGTTAACTGACAGATGACCAAAATGTATTTCTTTAATTTTAACAGATGGCCTAAAACCATCATTTATATATCTGACAGTTAATTGAAGACCTATTAATGATTATGATTTTAGCATAAACTTTATGGGTACAACCCATTGGTAAGCCTTCCATAGATAAAAGCTGTCCGATATTCCATTGTTTACAAAAATTCCAATACATGACATAGCTATGCCCTATAATCCGTTAAAAAGAAGTCTAATATTTATCAACTGACGGTATCTGACTGTCAAAAATAGGCAAAATTCTTATAGTAAGCCTAATCTCTTAATGAATAATAATTTTTTTACTAGGTACTAGTATCATTAGACACTACAGTGTATTTGAAGGTAGCATAAATCTCCAAAAAGCAAGTGATTTGTGCCTTTAAATATTACATATTGAGCTAAATGAATTGTGAGCTTTAAACCATCTAGAGTGTTATAGACATGATTTTAAAGTTGTTTTTCTATAGTCGTAGCGTAAACGTTTGTTAAGGGATGCTGTGCAATACTATAAAATGTGCATACTACTGCAAAGTTACAACCATTTTGGCTAGCCCTACTCAATCTTTATTGTTTTCCATGATTAATGGCACTTAGCTATCAAATTACCTTCTTCTCTCTAGTCAAAATGTTTGTTTGTTTTCTATATCAACAAGTAAAAGTGGATCTCCACCAAATTGATGCATATAGTACAATAAAACCTAAGTACCAATATTAGCATTTCAATTACTTGCAATAACTCCAATAACTTGTTTGTGTATAACATATTAAGATGAATCACATGAGATAACATAATTACATAAGTAATAAGGAATAAGTAGAGCATCAACTCATAGAGATAGTAAAACTAATCTTTGAAGTTAGTTTTGTTAGTTATTTTTGGGTGACTGAAAAATAATAAATATGTAAAATTAAAATTAAACTTAAATCTATCTAAAAAAAGAAATAGACTAATAAAGATTAAAAAAAAAAGATAAAATCAATACAACCAAATCTATTGATAGGATTTAATCTATGATGAGTTTAAAGCTTTTGCATGATTTTACCACATTCTGATTAGAGTAGCCACTAGAATTCTCTTAAAGGCCTGTATTTTTTGTTTTCTTCACACATATAGCTGAGCTCTCAACAATTAAGTTAATATAAAATATACCATCAAAGCTCCTTAGATCTTATGAAGACTGCAAGTTCATAGTAATTTAATATTATATAAGATTCATTTCTAATGGAATTTTGTCTAGACTAAGTTAAATTTTACACTCTCAACTTTTAACAAATCCCATGAACTGTTGATCTTTAGCCAATCAGTTAATAAAAAATAAACTTAGGTCAAATATGCGGTACTAAAACTAACAAAAATCATTACGGTTACATCTAACCCCCAAAGTCTAAAAAAACATATAGGTACATTTAATCCCTAGAGAAGGATTTAATTCAAGATAAAATTAAAAAAAAATAATAATAAAATACAAAATTGACATGGATTTACACATTTTGAAATAAAAACACATAAAAATGGATCTCACTCTCCTCAAGAAATGTTCTTTGTTTTTCATCCTAGTCTTCTTGATTCTTTCTTCAATGGCCTTGTACTTTAGGTCTTAGAGAACCTCAGCAAACATGATAAGGATGAGAAATTTATAACTCTACCCAAAAAACCTACCAAAAATCCTCATTTGACCATCAAAGCTCCTTAAATATGATTATAGAATTATTCAAGAATTTGGTTAGTGCTAATATTAAATTAGGTTAAATTTGAGTTCGGCTTGGGCCTAAGCACTAGACTCTTTATTTACTTTCCATAGTTTTGCTTTATGCTACCATCTAGTGATGTGAAAAGAGAAATTGAGTGTTGAGTTTTTCGGTTTTTAATGGAATACTAGTGCTTACGCCATAGGATCTAGTTTCCGGGCACTAGTCTATTTATCCACTAGATTGTCTCTAGCGCTGGGGCGACTGAACCAGAAAACTGGGTGTTCGCTTCTCCATGTTGAGTGCCTTAGTCATTATATCTAGAGGTTAAAAATCAAGAATGACTGATTGGACTTCATTATACTACAAATAATGTTGACTGTGCTATAACTCACCCGATTGGATCTACTACTTGAATGTACATGTGTTCATTTTCAAGATTTTCTCTCAAGATTCAAATATGTACATGTGTTCATTTTCAAGATTTTCTCTCAAGTTTTTGCTTACCTTCAATATTCAAATTTATTAGTCTAGTAGAATTTTGTAGAACTCATGGACATAAATATAAAACTATGTACTTAAAATGGGCAAATTGTATATCTATTATTTTCATATTATAAAAACATAAATTATTGCTTTCTTTATGCAAGAGCATCTGTTGCAAAAATGAATTTAAAGTGTCGGTCGCCTCAAGGTCTAATGGTTGATATTTTGACTAAATCAATCAAATCATAAATTTTTATGGAGTTATGAAGCACTTTATGGACATTAAGAAAAAATTGGAGTGTTGGAAATAAAATATACTAAAAATTTTAAAATGTTATATAATTAATGTGAAATGCAAGTAAGGAATGACATGTAATATACATGTCAGCAGAATATAAACAGATTTATTTTGGGATAATTACATACATAGTACTTGAAACATTGCTATTTACAAAATCTGACACCCAGGTGATATTTTTGAACTATCTAGTTGATTTATTTACGCTTGCCACAATCAAACCATTGATAATACTAAAATGAAAAACAAGGGTTGGGGTTTTACCATGAATTGTGATATTTAAGCGAGAATTTGAGAAATAGATGAAAGAAGATGCTACATATGTAAATAGCAATGCATAGGCTGCTATTTATGTAATTACCCCATTTATTTATTAGTATTACACCTTCAAAGGAGTTCTATTCACGCAAAATAGGAGTATTTAAAACTGTCCATGGTCTTTGTGGGAATGAAAAAATATTGATTGCTACAATTAATGTTCATAGTATTTGGGGGCATGAAAAATTATGGATATTTTCCTAAATCATGTAAATCAAGTGCGCATCTATTGATTGCTACAATTAATGTTCATAGTATTTGGGGCCATGAAAAATTATGGATATTTCCTAAATCATGTAAATCATGAATAAATAAGATTACAAAAATAAACTCTAATGCAATTTAAAAATTCTTTAATGTTTTGCAACTAGCATGTATATACTAATTCTTCCTTACAAAGTCTATATGATTTAACTACAAAACAACTAGCTAGAACTCAAGCAAACTTTGGACATGAAGTAGCAAAGAGTACACCATACTATAAAATAAACAAAAAAGTAAACTTAGTACACCATCTCTGTCTGAATTCTTTCTCTTACATATTTTTGAAAGAAGAATCTATCCTCGAATGAGAGGAAGGCCAATGGCGGTGACGATCAGCGTTGATGGGAGACCGAAACAAATATGCTTCCAAAATGTGAGATTGTATCCATGCAGCTCGGATCGGCGCGCCTGCTCGCATACGATTAGATTGGCAGCCGAGCCCAGCAGCGATAGATTTCCTGCTACAGTGCTGACCCAAGCAAGTATGAGCCATGCCTTGTCTACATCTGATGCAGAAACTGCTGCAGCTGATTTGGCCACTTCAGCCCCCAACAAGAGAACTGCATGCAACATTGAGTTTAGGAGATTAGCATGATACATATACGGGTCATTTTTTATACTCAAACTTTAAGACACACACACACACACACACACACACAACTAATTAATTAGTCAATTGAAAGAAAAGGGGTATGTTTGGCACTCTTTTATAGAGAATTGGCCAAGTTGCAAATTAAGAGTTGACAATTTTCTAAAAAAAATATCTTCATAAGTGAAAAATTTGAGGATGGTCACACATAACTATAAGATGTTCTACCGATGCTCCTCTTCTTTGCTAAAAGTGTTATTAAAGCCGATCATCCGATTAGAAGATTAGATATTTTATATTTGAATCATGTTAAGAAAGTCAGAGGGACACATTGGAAGACTTGGGCATATTGTATAAACATATTGTATACACATTGGAAGACTTGGGCATATTGTATAAAAAATGATCTTAATTTATTAGATTTAAATGAAAATATGACACTAACTAGAGCGTAATGGAGAAAAAATATTCATGTAGCTGACCTAACTTAGCGGGATAAAAGTTTTGTTGTTGTTGTTGTTGTTGTTGTACTCAAAATAACTTTTTGCAGGAAGAAAAATGCAATAATATCTCACCTGTGGGAACATTGGAAGCAAAATTTGAGAGGAGAAGAATGACAATGGAGAGCACAGCGACTCCACTAGCTCGATTAACTCTAGCCAAAGGTTCCATTAGTCCCCAAAATGCACTTGGTATCCCAGTTTTGTTGAACCCATCAACAGTGATGAACATCCCACAGAAGAATATAAGCAACGAATAAGACACCTAAAAACAATTTCATTAAACACAAATTATTATGTATTTGCATGAACAAACTATAATACTTTGAAAATTAAGTATTTGCTTCCTGAAAATTGTCAGAAGAGCGATCAACACGATAGATTGTAATAATTTCACTAATTAAGTTAATATAATATAATTTAAATAAATATTACTTTAATGAGACTGTTTATAAGCATAAGTTAAATTAATGTCTCCGTAATATCCGAAATAATATTACAATAGTAGAAAATTGATATGATATAATTGTAATTGGAATTTATGGTTGCAAATTTGTAAATAAGTCTAAATAAACTACGATTTTTCATCATCCATTCATACATATTGATGTATCATTATCATGAACCCAATATTCTTTTAAATTATAAGAATATAATTAACACGGAAGTACATGAAGATATACCGCTCTAACACACATTGCTTTATTTCTATCTTTGTTCAACTTTTGTATTTTTTTTAACTAATTTTAAGGTTTATGCTTTCCATGACATTAATACCAAAATTTATAATAAAATAAATTATAATTAGAAAAAAAAAATACCTTGTCAAAGCAAGGTCCGGCATCTCTAAAATCAATGACTAAGAGCAAAATAGCAGCCGTCAGCGCAGTCCAGGTGTAAGTCCCCTCAGGTCAAGGGTTCGATCTCACCGGGTTTTCAACTATTTGGGGAGACATATCTAATCCCGATAATAATGCCGCCAACATCCCCGCCGTCACCAAATAAACACCTCCCTTCAAACACATGCCTCTCCTCCTCCCCTTCCTCTCCTTCTCCTCATCAATCACCTCTTTCAGCGGCCCAGCCTCCACTATCCCCATCCCCGAATTATGCGACATCAACGCAGGCGAAAACCTATGCGACCCTCCTTCTCCATCCCCCGCCACCTCCGGTGCCGATTCGTGCGACATCTTCGCCGGTGAGAATTTGTGCAAAGTCATCTCTTTTGTTTCCTCAATTACCGGCGACGGCGACGCCCTTCCTCTCCTTCTCCTCATCAATCACCTCTTTCACCGGCCCAGCCTCCGCCATCCCCATCCCCGAATTATGCGACATCAACGCAGGCGAAAACCTATGCGACCCTCCTCCATCCCCAGCCATCTCTTGTTCCGATTCGTGCGACATCTTCGCCGGCGAGAATTTGTGCAAAGTCATCTCTTTTGCTTCCTCAATTACCAGAGACGGCGACATAAGGGGGGGAGGTCATGCTGCTTCGTGAATTTGAGGACGAATTCGGTGAGAACAATGCAGGTGGTGTCATTGGTGAAAAGGGCGCTGGCAAAGGCGGAGATGAGGCAGACGCGTATGAGGAGGTCGTGGCCGCCGAGGGACTTCCAGGAGAGCAGACGGCCGAGGTAGCGGAACATGTGAGCTTTTTCGAGGTAGATGGAGACGACCATTGTGCCGAATAGAAGGCAGAGGATGGGGAGGTCGATGGCTCCGTAGGCTTGCGAAGGTGTTAGCACCTGGTACAAGTCGCAAGGATGTTAAGTTCGTTTTTCTAGTTGCATGCATGGGTTACACAAGATCAACAGTTTGAGAAATTATAGTTTTTTTTAACTTGCTTGCCAAGAAAAAATTGTATTTTTTGTAAAGTTAATAGACACATAATTGTATTTATAAAATTATAGCTAAATATTAAAAAAAGAAATACATACATAGCACCCAGTTCTTATGGATTTGTCTGTCTTATATCCAAACTTTCATTTTTACGTGCAAAGAACTTTACTTTTTTAATTTGAATATTAAAATATGATAATGAATGTTATTTTTCATATAATATTTGTAATTCATTTTTGTAATTGCGTGCATTGGTTACACGGGATCAGCAGTTTGAGAAATTATAATTTTTTTTTAATTTGCATGTCAAGAAAAAAATATTTTTTTTTTTGTAAAGTTAATAGACACATAATTCTAATTATAAAAATATAGCTAAAAATTTATCTATGAGGCTCCTGAGACTAGGGCTGTCAATTTGGCTCGTTGTTCGAGAACAGCTTGTGTTCGGGCTCGTTTTTCGCGAACAACCGGTGTTCGACTCGCTCGTTAAGTAAACGAGTCGAACACGAACAACTATTTGTTCGCTCGTGTTCGGCTTGTTTTAGCTCAAAATAAAAAAAAATATAATTATTTATATAATAATATATTATACATATTATTTAGGTAATAATATATTATATATATTTATATATATGTTTAAATCGTAACTGCTATTGTAGTAATGTGGTCATGCGCCTTGTATTGCATATATTTAATCTAAGTTCGAATCCAGCGCTCTACATCTATTTTTTCAGTTTAATTTTAACGAGTCAATTTAGAGCCGAACATGAGCCGAACACGAACACGAATATTTAAATCGAGCCGAACACGAACACACTGTTCACGAGCCGATTTCGAACACGAGCCGAACACTAGCCAAGCCTGAGCTCGCTCAAGCTCGGCTCGTTTACAGCCCTACCTGAGACGATTGAAACTTACACAAGATAAGCATTTTGAGAAATTTACAGCCCTACCTGAGACGATTGAAACTTACACAATATAAGCATTTTGAGAAATTATATAGAGAAATTATATATATATATTTTTAATTTGCATGTCTAGAAAAAATTATTTTTTTTGTAAAGTTAATAGACACAATTCTATTTACAAAATTATAGCTAATTTTTTTTTTAAATGCATACATATCACCTAGTTCTTATGGTCTAAATTAAACGATGGTGTGAATTGCAACATGTTCTTTAAGTATTATAGGTCTATTATACTAAAAATGCATCTTGGACCGCAATATAAATTACGAGCAGGATGATTTTGTGTTCTTAAATCAAGTTAAAAAAAAGAAAATTATTGATGAATAATTATTACGTATGTCAGACATACATGTAGACAGTGATATTTGGGTAATATTGAGGTGGTATTACATCTTAATAACACCCCAAAAACACTCCAATATCATCAATACAATCCCAACACCACAAAAAATACAACCAATCTACACATAACTCATTCGCATGTAATTCTTTTATCGATCAATACAAACCTGAAAAATGATCATGAGGAGGGCGCCGAGGAGAGAGCCTGCCGTGCGGCCGATGGGGAGGAATGGAACGGCGGGGAAGACGGCCATGATCCAGAACACGCCAAATGCGATGGAACCGAGCGCCACTTTGCCGATTCCCGCAACCGCCATTTTTTTTTAAAACCTGTTGGACCAAAATCCTTATTTTTTGAAGATGAGAACTGCTGCATGAACAGAGGTTGCTAAATCTCCAATATATAGCCTTTCTTCATGTACCTTCTGATGCAGGAGAGCCAATAGGGAGAAAGTAAACATATATATATATACGTACCTAGTGATTCTTCAACGTCGCACTCACAAAAATTGTTTTTTTACAAAATTCTATTAGATTTAATGAAATATATTTTTTATTGAGAAAAAAAGATAATACTAGCTAATTATAAAATACTTCATCTGAGTAAAATTGAGTTTGTACACCTATTTTTATCCTGGTATAAGTTATTTAACTTAATTACTTTATTTACATTAAGATTCCAATAATTATAGATATGTTCTTTCAATTGATTATTTTATTCAACCTTTAATATCCAAGACTTTTGATAATTTTTTTTAAAAGAAAAATATAGTATTTTTAAGCAAACGTCCTTGATTTGCTCAAGTGGTGTTAATTGTTAAAAAAGTTGGATTAGTAGGTTTTTAAATTGGTTCTTAATTAAATTGATTTAGTTCAAGATGCTTATATGACATTGATAGGATGTCCTTGAAATTAGTAAATTGCACTCAATACCTTCTCTACATGTAAGAAGTAAGCAACGCTCGTTAGCAATATTGAAATAATTTTCTTTTCCAAGTAAAGGTTAGTTAATCACTTTTTGGTAACTAATAAAAGCCATATAAAATAAGTAAGATGAATACTTTGGTACACAAAGCAAAACATAAGAAAATTGTATTACACACACACACACACAGATGATCCTAAAGCACTCCACACAACATTAGAACTAAATGTGTCTGTAGATTATCTTCCCAGGGTTGTTCCTGAAGTTGAAATTGAGCCTTCACCTATTTTCCCAGATTTAGTGAATATTTCTCTGGTGGAAGATGTGGTAGAATAGCTGATCCAATCTGTTCCCCCTATTATTGACCCAGATCCTAACAGCCCCTTGGCTCCCCT